CATGGTGCAGAGACGTCAGTTTTTCTGCACGTTTTTGCAAGGGCACAACAAAATCAATTGTTCTCTATGTGCCCTGTTCACACCACAACACTAGTATCACTTGCAGATTTTTTTCTGCCCAGGAATCTGCAACGTGTATAAAAACCCATTGAAGCGTGCATGAAAACTGATGTTTCTGCAAGTGAAATCTGCGTATCAGTTTCCATCAGTTTTTCTGCATCTATAGTGTGAACGGGGCCTAACTGACCTTAAACAAGAATACAGAACAGGACTCAAAATAAAGTAAAAAATGATTGAAGGTGACAGCATTGGTACCAGGTAACTGGCATTTTCAAAAGATTAGGAATAGCAGCGTCCTGGTTCTTCTTGGTAAAGGTTTCTTTGTGGTTCCCCAACTGACCCCCATGTTAGCACAACATTCTCTGGTCATGTAGGGGTTGGCAGGAGGAATCACTGAGCACAGTGAGGGAAACAAGAGATCAACACCTGTGAAAAAGTATCAGTTTTAGTAGATGTTTCACCCAGGGGTTCTGTGGTGTTCAGGGGCACAGTCAGTAGGACAGGCGAGTATTCATTTGTTTCTTTGCAGGTACCTTTTTTGAAATCAGCTGTGTTTTTTATTTATTACAGGTACTTATATAGCACTGTCAAGTTACGCAGCGCTTTACGTATATTATACATTCACATCAGTCCCTGTCTTCAAGGAGCTTACAATCCAAGGTCCCTAACTCACACTCGTACATACTAGAGCCAATTAACCTACCAGCATGTCTTTGGAGTGTGGGAAGAAACTGGAGTAACCTGAGGAAACCCATGCAGAACCAGCAAGCCCCTGGCAGGTAGTGTTGTGTTTGGGATTTGCTAGTCAGAGGTGGTAACCACTTAGCCACTGTGCTGCCCAGTTTAAAGTGACTTTATAGGCAAAATCAAAAGTGACACTTACAGTGGGGAATATAATGATTTAATCCCCAGCAAATTTTGCAAGTTTGCCCACTTACAAAGCAATGAAAGGTCTATAATTTTTATCATAGGTGTATTTTAAATAATAAAAATAATATCAACCAAAAATCCAGAAAAAAAAAACCACTTGATACAAATGTGATAAATTGAGTGCAGTTCAGTGAGTTATGTAAGTATTTGATCCCCTACCAACCAACAATAATTCTGGTGCCTACAGACTGGCTATGTGGTACACAGATTAGTCCTGTCAGTTTAAGAAGGTGCTCCTAATGACAGATCATTATGTGTATAAAACACACCTGTCCATAGAATCTTTGTTCCATTCAAACCTCACCATCACCATGGGCAAGACCAAAGAGCTGTCACAGGACGTCAGGGACATGATTGCAGTCCTGCACAAGCCTGGAATGGGCTACAAGACCATCAGCAAGAAGCTTGGTGAGAAGGAGAGAACTGCTGGATCGATTATTCGCAAATGGAAGAAATACAAAATAACCATCAATCGCCCTCGGTCTGGAGCTCCATGCAAGATTTCGCCTCACGGGGTGAGGATGATCATGAGAAAAGTGAGGGATCAGTCCAGAACTACATGGGAGGAGCTTGTGAATGATCTCAAGGCAGTTGGGACCAAAGTCACCAAACAACCATTGGTAACACAATACACCGCCATGCATTGAAGTCCTACAGCGCCCGCAAGGTCCGCCTCCTCAAGAAGGCACATATACAGGCCCGTTTTAAGTTTGCCAATGAACATCTAAATGATTCAGAGAAGGATTCATGACAATGACCCAAAACATACTGCCAAGGCAACAAAGGAGCGTCTCAAAAAGAAGCACACTACGGTCATAGAGTGGCCTAGCCAGTCTCCAGACCTTAATCCTGTAGAAAATTTATGGAGGGAGCTGAAACTTTGAGTTGCCAAGCAACAGCCAAGAAACCTTAAGGGTTTAGAGAAGATCTGTAAAGAAGTGTGGACCAAAATCCCTCCTGAGATGTGTGCAGACCTGGTAACCAACTACAAGAAACGTCTTACCTCTGGGCTTGCCAACAAGGGTTTCTCCACCAAGTACTAAGTCAGGTTTTGCTTGGGGATCAAATACTTATTTTACTTACTGAACTGTAACTCAATTTATAACATTTGTAACATGTGTCTTTCTGGATTTTTGATTGATATTCTGTCTCCATCATTTAAAATACACCTATGATAAAAAAAATATAGACTCTTCATTTTTTAAGTGGGCAAACTTACAAAATATGCAGGGGATTAAATAATTATTTTCCCCACTGTATGATACAATCTATTAGTAGCATTAATTGGAACTAAATTAATTCATTTAGGGCTCTTTCACACGATACGTGAAGGAAAACGGATGGAAACTGACATGCAGATTCCACTTGCAGAGACATTACTTTTCATGCGCGTTTTGAATGAGTTTTATACACATTACAGATTCCTGTGCAGAAAAAATCGGCACATGATACTAGTGTTGTGGTGTGAACAGGGCACATAGATAACAATTGATTTTGTTGTACCCTTGCAGAACACGTGCAGAAAAAATGACGTCTCTGCACAATGGTGTGAACAAGGCCTTAATGGTTTGCCAATACAGTTACATCAAGGCATGCCATGAATGATAACTGTCACAAGTTCTTGTGCTCTCAAACTGTCAAACCGTCAAATGTCTGGTGTCATAACTGATCACATGTGCAGCATTAAGACAACTGCAAATCAAACAGACTAAGATGGTAGCTTCTTAGGCTGGAAACAATTGGAGGATTAATGCCACTTTAACACATCAGCCTTTTTTTCTGAGTCACCCCTGAAACATAGTTTTATTAAGTTTTTTCATTAAGGATGAGCTCAGGTGGGTTCGGACCCAAGTCTGAGCTATCCAGGAAGATGTCAAAGCCGACAGCCACTCATAGCCATTGATAGGTGGAGGAAGCATTCCCTGCCCTGCAGCCACATGTTTGCAAGGGTCGTGTCGGAATGCCTCCTCCACCTATGATTGGCAGTCAGCTTTGACAGCTTCCTGGTGGGATAGCTGAGGCAACTTCGGACTTGGCTGAACATGCCTGAGCACGTCACTGATTTTCAACTCTGTTTAACTGACCAGCAAAAGTGGCAGTTAGAGGGTTGAGACAAACCATTTAACAACCACAGGGGTGCTTACAATGGTCAGGTTTTATTCATTGACGTAAACCTTTATCCCAAAAGGAAAAAAAACATTTGGTGTATTGGTGAAAATGTTGTACAAGCTAAGATTTAACCCTTGGGAGGCTCAGTGGATAGATATCCGTGTGTAATTGTAAATGGGGTTCATTTGAAACAAAGTCCAGTCACTAGTTGTGTACCACAAGGCTCTGTAGTAGCTCCTGTACTATTTAATCTATTTGTAATTGATTTAACTGGTTTGGTTTGAAGATTTTTTTTTTTTTTTTGCTGATGACATAAGGCCCCTTTAACACGGGCGTTCCGTATGTCTGTTTTTCATCTGTACGTTTACGCATTTCTATGGACTAGTGGGTGTAAACAGTTATAATCCTATTTTTATTCCGTTTAAAAAACCAGATCAGACAAAAAACAGATGTGAACTGATGAAAAACTGATGTAAACTGATCCGATTTTTACTGGAAAAAACGTGACTGAACTGATGAAAAAAATGGAACGTCCGTGTGAAAGGGGCATAAAGGTGTACAATAGGATGAATTTTGCTGGAGCTCTGGGAAACATGGAACATGATTTGGCACTGCTAGGAGATTGATCAAAGGCAGTGGAAACAGCAGTTCAGAATCTCTACTTGCAAAAAATTTGCATTTAGACAAAAATAATCCTCCGATAGAGTAAAATATTAGGGATACAGCTTTGGCCAGAACTACAAAGGAAAAAAGAATTTTAGATGATAGAAAAATGAGCAAACAATGTGGATCACAAGAGAGATCACCAGCAGGATAAAGGAGATCCAGGTCCCCCTATATACAGTAGATCTTTAGTTATCACTAGTAGGAAGAGTGAGGTCTCAATTCCCTATATAGATCTTTGGTTATCACTAGATGGATAAATTGTATGGGGAACGAGGTCCATATTGCCCTATATAGATCTTTATTTAGAATACAAATCTAGTGTCCAATGTCCAGTTCTGGAGACTTCACCTACAAAAAGATATTGATAAGACAGAAAAAGCCCAGAGGTGGATAACAAAATGGTGAAAGGTCTGATGGATAAAACATATCAGGAAGGACAACAGGAACCTAAAATGTCCAGTTTTGAGGAAAAGGGAGACATGACTAAAACCTTTCAATTTATTAAAGACACAGTTCACCTTTACCAAAAACTGCCAATGCAGGTAAGAGGTAAATAAAACCAAATTGTGCAGCTTTGGCCAAAGTTAAAGTGGAAGTAAAGACAAAACCTAAAACAAAATGATGCAGCGCTACCTAAATGTCAATACTAGGTGAATATATATACAGTTGCAAGATTCAGGAGTGTGTCTATGGGAATGTTTGACCATTCTTCCAGAAGCGTTTTTGTGAGTTCAGGCACTGAAGGCCTGGCTCATAGTCTCTGCTTTAATTCATCACAAGCTGTTATATTGGGTTAAGTTCAGGACTCTGCTTAGGCCAGTCAAGTTCCTTCACCCCAAACTCGCTCATCCGTGTTTTTACGGACCTTGCTTTGTGCACTGGTACGCAGTCATGTTGGAACAGAAAGGGGCCAAAACTCTTCCCACAAAGTTGGGAACATGAAATTGTTTAAAATGTCTTGGTATGCTGATGCCTTCGCTTCACTGGAACTAAGGTGCCAAGCCCAACCATAAACAACCCCACAACATAATCCCCCCTCCACCAAACTTTACACTTGGCCTGGGGCGGACTGACAACTCATGGGGCCCCCGGGCAATAGGAGATCATGGGGCCCCTGTGTCCTTGCCCAAACTCAAAAAATCCTATGAAGAAGGTACCAGGGCCATCTCATGGGGCCCCCTACTGATCCCGGGCCCTCAGGCAGTGCCCGAGTTTCCAAATGGTCAGTCCGCCCCTGCACTTGGCACAATGCAGTCAGGCAAGTACTGTTCTGGCAACCACAAAACCCAGACACGTCCATTGGATTCCAGACAGAGAAGTGTGATTGGTCATTCCAGAGAACACGTCACCACTGCTCTAGAGTCCAGTGACTCTGCAGACAGTTGGCGACTTCTGCGCACTGTGCGCTTCAGCATGTGCTTACCCCACTCTGCCATTTTATGTGGCCTACCACTTCATGGCTGAGTTGCTGTTATTCCCAGTTTCTTCCATTTTGTTATTAAACAGCTAACAGTTCACTGTGGAATATTTAGTAGTACGGAAATTTCACGGATGGACTTATTGCACAGGTGGCAACCTATCACGGTACCACGCTTGTATTCACTGAGCTCCTGAGAGCGACCCATTCTTTCACAAATGTTTGTAGAAGCAGTCTGCATGCCTAGGTGCTTGATTTTATACACCTGTGGCCATGAAGGTGATTGGAACATCTAAATCCAATGATTTGGAGGGGTGTCCCAATACTTTTGGCAATATAGTTTATTTAATATCTGTTTACTCTACTTAGACTTAAACTCACAAGGGGGCTGATGAGACCTGCTGTGCATCTAGTGCTGGTAATAGACTGCTGCAGACATGCAGAGAACTCTGGGTGAATTATGAACAGAACGCTTTCCTTATCCTGCTTCCTGCCCTCCCTTGGCGTGGAACCCTGCTCCTCCAGCACCTGAACACCACCTCATGATCAGCACAACTTGATTTCAGGCCCACTTTGAGTAAGGTCTAATATATGAAAATTATTCAACATGAATTAAAGTTTCTAAAAGGTTTCACTTATAGCAGAGTTTCATCATAGTGAAAAGGGAAATCAAGGTAAGAAGCTTAAACACATTAAAGGTGCTTAATTAAACACAGTGGAATAACTGCCCCATATGTAACCCTTTAAAAGCATTTAGAGAGCCCTACATGGATTGTATAATAATCACTGATCTAGGGCTTCTATAACCCCCTAATGAGCAATAATCATACTTCGGAGTTAACAATCTGCATGTATATCCCTTAAGTATATCAGAAGCCAATCTCTATGAAGTTACTCTTTTGTGCTGATAGATGCCATCCAGCTCATGTTAAGAGGGCAGTAGACTGTTTAATTGAGCATCTTGGATGTATTTCTGCGTCTTCCCCTTAATTGCCCTTTTCTCTACAATTAAAACCCTGCTATAGGTAAAATGCATTAGAGGCGTGGCTTCAGGCGGAAGGCTGTGGTATGTGCTGTCAGCCCACCTCCTGAAGAAGTCCAGAAGTGATGAAACACTTAGGGGTGGGACTTTTAGTTTGTGACATCATTTCTGCTTGGCTCCAGGATTTAGCGGAGCAGTGGCATCTTCCTATATTATGTAGCCAGCTGGTCATTCCAGTCGCAGGAGGGGCACCTCTATATGTGAGTGCATTATCTTTTTTTTATGTGTGGGTTATCATTTTAAATAAAGCAGTGAACAATGAAGTCTTTCCTGGTCTTTGTCTCCAATGCTTGATTATACATGAGGATGGTTTGAGGTCAGGGGATGCTTGCTCCTGTGGTGTTTTGGTGATTTATTGGAGGAGAAGAAGGTGTGGTGAACTTAAAGAGCTGACCTTTCCAGTGGTAGAATAAAAGACTGTATCACAGGATCATATTCAGTTATCAGAGGTGGTGAAGAGCTGCCACTTAACCACTTTACCTTCAGAAGATTTACCTCCCTTCCTGACTGGGCCAGTATGGCACTACATTATTTTAGCTGACAATTGTGCAGTCATGCAACGCTGTACATAAATAAAATTTATGTCATTTATTCCCACAAATAGAGCTTTCTTTTGGTGATATTTGATCACCTCTGAGTTTTTATTATTTGCGACAGAAACAAAATAAAAGGCCGAAAAGTCAAATATTTTTCACTTTCTATCAAACATATCCAATAAAAGATTTTTTTTAAATGTAATTGCTTCATAAACTTAGGCCAATATGTAATCTGCTACATATTTTGGTCTACAAACTATGGTGTTTGACCACTTCAATACCGGGCACTTTTACTCCCTTCCTGCCCAGGCCATTTTTCAGGTTTCAGCGCTCTCACACTTTGAATGACAATTGCGCAGTCATACAACATTGTACCCAAACTAAAATTTTATCATTTTCTTCACACAACTAGAGCTTTCTTTTGGTGGTATTTAATCACCGCTGGGGTTTTTATTTTTTGCTAAATTAACAAAAAAAGACTGAAAATTTTGAAAACAAAACACGTTTTTCTTTGTTTCTGTTATAAAAGTTTGCAAATAAATAATTGTTCTTCATAAATTTAGGCCAAGATGTATTCTGCTACATGTCTTTGGTGAAAAGAACCCAAATTAGGATGTATTTTTTAGTTTGTAGGAAAGTTATAGAGTTCACAAACTATGGGATATATCTGAATATTGATCAATCCTGAAGTACTGACAGCCAATCTAATTTCTTGAGGTCAAGAATGTCAGAACAGTACAGATATCCTCCAAATGACCCCTTTTTGCAAAGTAGACAGTCCAACGTACTTCATAAGAGGCATGGCGAGTTTTTTGAAGTTGTATTTTTTTTGTCATAATTTTTTGGAGAATGAAAAAAAAAAAAAAAAAAAAAATTTCACAATTTTTTTTATACATACTGTCACCAGTGCAGTACAGAGTTATAATATAACTGGCATGGCGGTGATCAGGGACACTGACTGGTGACAGTATGAAAAAAAATATATAGAATTTTTTTTTGTTATTTATTTAAGATTTTTTTTTCATATTTCACTATGACCAAAGTAGTACAAGGTTGCCATAGTAACATTGTACTACTTTGGGGAAGTGATCAGTTTTTTTTTTTTTCTTTTTTTACACAATTTGCTTATAGCAAAGAATTACTTTGCTATAAGCAAGCATTTACCTGAATGACATCGATTCATTCAGGGTTTTTTTTTTTTTTTGTGCTTAGCTGTGATTTGGCCATGGCTAATCACATGACACAGCTGGGCTGTGATTGGCCCAGCTTGTGCATGTGATTGCTGTGACCATTCACAGCTAGACACACTAGTATAGAATGGATGGCATGAATGAAGCCATCCATTGTATACAACTGTCATGTGACCTGCTGTGATTGGTCACAGCAGGTCACATGGTACCGGCAATGGGGCACGGCCGAGGTACACGGCCGGTGACAGATCGTGCCGTTGATCTGGCTTTAGAGGAAAGGGACGCATGACTAAATCTACTCCTATTGTCTTAGCACTTTATGACATCTTTACACTGGCACTGTAAGTATGTTGTTTACATTATAGAAGATTTTAAAGTGGGTTTAGCACTTTATAGGATATCGCTGTTCGACGCTTTTCTCTGAATTCCTAGTCTAATAAACATAGCTGGATTAAGACATCATTGGTGTGTGTCCCTTCTCATTTTGTTTGTTGCAAAAATGTTTATATAACTCATAGCAACTAGAGATGAGCAAAGTCAGCTCACTGCACATTCGCCAAACCAGCGAGAAATCAACGAACCCCAAACGTAGCGCCCAAAACCCATTGAAGCCTGTGGGAGTCTAATTATTATACAGGATTTATATAGCGCCAACAGTTTGCTCAGCACTTTACAATATAACGGAAGACAATACAGCAACAATACAGTTCAATACAAGAAGGTTAGGAGGGCCCTGCTCCTTGGAGCTTACAATCTAAGAGACTAATCTTGTATATTGGTTTTTTGTTGTTTTTTTGCGTTTATTGAAATTGTACAGTGGTACAGACAATCAAAGGTGCATGAAGCCAAATCAAGCGTGTATTATACAGTAAAGTAAATTGTATACTGTTTTATTGTCTCAATAAAGGACAGACTTCAGCAACAGTATCACTCTAGTTCTCTTCAACATATGAGTGTATATACACATGGACAACAGAGATATTACTTGCTAAAAACAAAAGTATCATTCTCTCTTTATTCCAAGAGTCCACGGAGTGTGTTTTGTGTAAACATTTTTTTGTAATAATTTATGTTTTCAGTTTCATTCAAACTACATATTAGAACAGCGATTCTCAACCTGGGGGTCGCGACCCCTTCGGGGGTCGAACGACCATTTCACAGGGGTCGCCTAAGACCATCGGAAAAACACATATTTCCGATGGTCTTAGGAACCAAGACACCGCTCCTGTCTCAGGCGATGTGTGGGCGGGATGATATGCTGCCCCTGTCACCTGGCCACACCTCCGGGATCACTCAACAGCTCCGCCTCCTCGCCGCTGATTGGCCACCGGAACTGTAGCTCAGGAGAGGCACACAGGCGGCCAATCACCGGCGAGGAGGTGGAGCTTGGAGAGGAGGAGCCGAGCGGCAGCGCGCGTAGATCAAAGAAGATCGAGGGAGCTGCAGGAGCGAGTGAAGAGAGAGGCCAGAGAAGGAAGACAGCTGACAGGTAAGTGCAAATTTTGCTGCTGCAGCCAGGTATGCTGGCTGTAGATGGGAGAGGGAGAGAGCGAGCCCAGGCTGGAGCAGGAGTCTGCAAGGTAAGTATCATTGGTGTCAGTGGGAGGGATAGTGCCCCATCATTTGTGTCACTAATACCAACGATGGGGCACTATTCCTCCCCCCACTGACACCAACGATGGGGCACTATTCCTCCCCCCCACTGACACCAACGATGGGGCACTATTCCTCCCCCCCACTGACACCAACGATGGGACACTATTCCTCCCCCCACTGACACCAACGATGGGGCACTATTCCTCCCCCCACTGACACCAACGATGGGACACTATTCCCCCCCCCACTGACACCAACGATGGGACACTATTCCCCCCCCACTGACACCAACGATGGGTCACTATTCCCCCCCCCCCCTCTGACCCCAATGATGGGGCACTATTCCTCCCCCCACTGACACCAACGATGGGACACTATTCCCCCCCCCACTGACACCAACGATGGGACACTATTCCCCCCCCCACTGACACCAACGATGGGTCACTATTCCCCCCCCCTCTGACCCCAATGATGGGGCACTATTCCCCCCTCCACCACAGTGACACCAATGATGGGGCACTATTCCTCTCCCACTGACGCCAATGATGGGGCACTATTCCCCCCACTGACGCCAATGATGGGGCACTATTCCCCCCACTGACGCAAATGATGCGGCACTATTCCCCCTACTGACGCCAATGATTGTACACTATTCCTCCCACTGACGCCAATGATGGGGCACTAGTCCTCCCACTGCAAAATTACAGTTACGAAGTAGCAGCGAAAATAATTTTATGGTTGGGGGTCACCACAACATGAGGAACTGTATTAAGGGGTCGCGGCATTAGAAAGGTTGAGAACCACTGGATTAGAACATTATTCCTCTGTTTTGGCAATGTCTTGAAATGAACGCTGCAAAAAGGAATGACATTGTCAAACACTA